AAATAATTAGTTATTGAAGAATAAATCAACCTTTAGTTCTCTTGCACATTTATCCCTAACCTTTTAAAAATTGCAATATAGTTCCTTTCATCATTTTCTTTGTTTGACTTTGACACCAATAAAAGCTTAGTTGAATAAATATATATTATATATGAAACCTTAATTTGACATCATTTTCTTTCCTTCTATATTTTTCTCTTAATCATTTTTTATATCTTCATTTTTCATTATATATCTCTTTTTACTATAATGTCCTTTTATCTCTTATTGTGTATATTAAAAATGTTTTAAACCAATACTTAAGTAACACAACTTCTTAATATTATTCTCTAATTCTTTTTTACTTACCTTTACACCTTAAGGTTAGAGTACTCCTTGTACTCATTTAAAAGTTATTTTCAATTATTGCTATCATAATCCTTCTTTTAATTCTATGCTAATTACTATTATTCTTTGGTACCTTTTTACTTACCTCTCATTTGTTTTTCTTGTAACTCCATCTCTTAGCTTCCCTTATCACTATTGATCATTATATTTGTTTTTATATCATACATTTGCTGTCTTTTTCCTTCTATATATTGAGATTTCTTAACCTTTGTTAGCATGCATTAATTGCAATTTTTTCTCAATTTTATCGATCACCTAATTAAAATTCTACAAGTGTTTTATCACCCAATTTTTTTCTTTGCCCCTTGTTTATATTAAAAATGTTTTATGTCAAAACAAAAAAAGTGCAACTTTTTAACATTATTATCTTAGTACAACCACTTGCTTACTTTTCTTGAGTTTCATCTCTTAGCTTACTCTTCATATTTTATCAACATATATTTTTATCTTATACTCGCATTAATTTCCTCTCTCCATGTTAATAATTTAATTTTTATTGTTCTTTTCTCTCACTTATCTTTCTTTACATATATATTTTTTAATAAGCCAAATCAATCTTTCTATATTAATTATTCTTTTGAGTCACTCTTTGTATCTTCAATTATTATTATAAATCTTTTTTGCTCTAATTTTCATCTCTCATTGTCTATATTAGAAGTATTTTAGATAAAGACAAATGTGACACAACTTCTTAACATTATTCTCTAATTCTATTTTACTTACCTTTATGCCTTAGGGGTTAGAATACCCCTTATGCTTCTTCAAAAGTTGTTTTCCATCATTGCCATCATAATCCTACTTTTGATTCTCTTTTATCTCTTTTTTTTTTCTAATTAGAGAAATCCAATATTAATAGCTTAACAAAAATATTAATAAAACTTTTTTTTTATAGAAGTCTTAATAAAACTTTAATATAAAATTTACCAACCTTTTTTTTTATAGTACTTGATAAGTTGAATTATTGTTCATAATATGAAATTAATTTAGCCTTGATTTTATTAATATCTAAATGGATTTAATATGATTTTATTTGATTTTACATTATTTTCATTATTTTGTGCAGGATAGAACTTAACTTCTTAACAATCATAAATTTTGAACTAGATAACAATGTTTCACAAAGTAAAAGGATGAATAAGCTGATAAAATTAAGGGCCAAATCATAAAATTATGAAATATAAGGACTCAATTGTAAAATGTTAAAAAGTTGAGACTAATACTATAATATTACCATAAAAAAAGTTCACACTAGAATTGTGCATCTGACAGCTCTTCTCGCTTCTTTTTTTTTTCTCCTTTGTTGTGATCTATATAATTGTAAACGTAATGTTTTATAATTGGAAAGATATTAAAGAAATGTCAATTTCTATAATAAGAATGCAAGAATAAAATTAATCAAAAATCAAATTTTATTATTGTTGGATTGTAATATTTATATATTAAATTTAAATTACTTTTTAATAGGTATTTTTTAAAAGGATTTGTGTTTATTTATTTTATCTCTTAAAATTTTGAAAAAACTTAATATAAAACTATGTCATTTTAATAAAATATCATACTAGTAATTTAATTTGTTAAAGATAAATTAATATTTTAATAGTAACTTAGAGATTTGAAATAGATAAAATTCAATAAAAAAAAAGAAAAAACAAAAACAAAAGGTGTAGAATGGTTAGAGTTATGGGTGCCATTTACCTTTAAAACCTCTATTGTAAATAATGGACCAACTTAATTAAATTAATTCAGACTAATTAAAATAACCTTACTTGACGCCAAACTAATTGACTCGTCCGGCACCCTTTCACATTTTCCATCTTTTCCTTTTGTTGAATAAGATTGCAGTCTTCTATCTTTTTGTCAAATGTAAAAGAAGTTTTGGAAGCCACCTAGAGTCTTCTTCTTTAAACAAAATTATTATGCCATCACTGAACTAACCAAGACTCGTTTCCCTAATTACCATAATAATAATAATAATAATTAAAAAAAAAAAAAAAAGGAAAAGACTAACCAGGATCTAAACCTTTGACCCAAAATAAAAACCAAGGCTCAAGACTTCACCTTAGGCTGCTGGGAGTTCGTACAGCCTAGGACAATCCTTGCATTATTCAATGTTCATGCATGCCCGCACGCAGGGGCGATTTGAATAATAACTTTTATGTCTTTTTTTTTCTTTCTTTCTCTCCCTGAATATATATTGCTTATATATATTTTGAGTTGAACTGGTCCTCTGATCCAAAACATACAATTCTCCGATTTTTTTTATTTAGCTATTAGTAACTCTAGTTTAATGAATTAAAAATTTAATCCTATATTTTATTGGATGCATTCATACTTGGGGTTCTAGTAACTAGAGAATCCAATGACCAGGGACCCAAGAATAGTAAACTCAAAACAAGCATTGTTGACAATTGGGTGTTTTAATACTGATGCAAACCACCTTTACTTATTTATTCAAATAGTACCTGCATTTAGTTCTGACTTATAGGGTCAAATGACATTCATCATTCTCGTAAAAATTTATTTTTTTTTTCAAACAATAGTTTAACTCGGTCTCATAACAATTATTTAAAAAAAAAATAGTACATGCATTTGCACCACCTTCGAAGAAATCTTCATAAATTTGATCCAAATGAAGGTGTTTTCTTTTCTTCTCCTTTGAAAGAACTTCTCGACCGAGAAAACATAGTGTTAAAATGGAAACTATTAATTCTCAAATGAAAGCCATAGGAAAAGCTGAAATAACTCGGAAGCTACCTACCAACTAGTAGGCCGCGAGGAGGGGATGAACTTTTTTGAAAGAAAATGGAACACATGGAAACCTCGTTTGTCCCCCGTGGTGGTGATCAACTGTTTGAAAAGAAAATGTAATCCATGGAATCCTCTTTTGTCCTATATTTGAACAAATTGAAAGATAAAGCTACATACGTGTTTGCTATCTCTTTTATTGAAACTTCTTTGTCTGAATCTTCTACAATTTACAGGACAAAAGACATAGCTTGTGATGTATAAATACACATCATGTCTTGGACATTAATTCCACCACGTCAATTTCGCTAACATTCCTTAGTCAAATCAACACACAAGTATTTTGTGTGTGGTAGCCCAAACCGAACTATTCTTTCTTGTTTTACTAGAGTGGGGTACTTCATCAATATACCAAAATGAAGTTTGGGAAAGAATTTGCATCCCAAATGGTGCCGGAATGGCAAGAGGCGTACATGGACTACAATTTTCTGAAGACCCTTTTGAAAGAAGTCCAACGTTTCAAGCTAAGAAGCAGGCCACCGGCAACTCCGGGTGGCCTGAAGAGAAAGATGACACTGTACAGAGCTTTCAGTGGCCTAACACAGAGGCAGCAAAATCATCCAAGTCCCTCTTCTAATGACATCGAAAGCCAAGCCATCTTGGTGAATCCGGTAAACGGAGAAGGGTCGGAAAAATACCAGACGACTTTCCTGATGGCGGATGACGAAGGAGGAGAGTACGAACTGGTGTACTTTAGGAGGCTGGACGAAGAGTTCAATAAGGTGGACAAGTTTTACAAGGCTAAGGTCCAGGAGGTGGTGAAGGAAGCGGAAATGTTAAATAAGCAAATGGAAGCTCTGATTGCTTTTAGAATAAAGGTGGAGAATCCACAAGGGTGGCTGTGGGAAGAAAGGTCCGGTGACTTGACTCGGCTTGCTTCCGATGTTGCAGCCTCTGCTGCTGCTCTGGCAGCTTCTACTCCATCTGGGGCAAGAGCAAACAGTAAGTATTCTTCAGCTAAAAATTGCCAAAGTTCATTTCTTGCCCCATAACTTATGTTTCTTGGTTATGCTTGGGTTTTTGTTTATTATATTCAGGAAGAGTTAATCATATGGAGGTGATTGGAGAGGGATTGACTAGCCATGAGCATTCAGATGAAGATAGAGATGAAAAGGACAACGAGAACTCTTTAGAGGAAAATGTTGAAGCTCCAAAACAAGGAAAAATACTTGAGCGCAAAAAACCAGCTCCATTGCAAATACTAAACCATGTTAAGATGAATAACTCTCTTGAGACTCCTCGATCAACCATTAAAGGCGTCTTAAATGTCCCTAACCACACTGAGCTTAAGTTCACTAGGCAGAATCTAAGGAAAGTTGAAGAGCAACTCA